GTGGAAGTGGTAGTGCGGGTGGGAGTATAGGAGTGGGAGTCGTGGTGGTGGTGGCAGTGGTGGTGGTGTTAGTGGTAGTAGTAGTAGTAGTAGTAGTAGTAGTAGTAGTAGTAGTAACTAGTAGTAGTAGTAGTAGTAGTTGTTGTTGTTTTTGTTGTTGTTGTTGTTGTTGTTGTCGTCGTCGTCGTCGTCGTCGTCGTCGTCGCCCCTCCCCCCGCCTGCCAACTACCCCGCCTGAACACCGTTTTAGCACACGCCCATTTTACTTGGTATTTGCAGTACTTTCGTGATGTCGTCATCCAACACCAACCAACACAGTTGGGGAGGGGGGTGGGGGCATGATGACCTACTTTTCAAGAGCACATCCATGTTACTCGGTATTTACAGTACCTTCGTGATGTTGTAGTCAATGCCAACGATGATGACCACGATGCGTTTAGGCTGCAGGTGGTAGTAGCAGTAGTAGTAGTAGTAGTAGTAGTAGTAGTAGTAGTAGAAGTTGTTGTTGTTGTTGTTGTTGTTGTTGTAGCCGTAGTAATAGTAGTAGTAGTAGTAGTAGTAGTAGTAGTAGTAGTAGTAGTAGTTGTGGTTGTTGTTGCTGCTGCTGTTGTTGTTGTTGTTGTTGTTGTTGTTTTGTCGTTGCTGCTGGTGTTGCTGTTGGTGTTGCTGGTAGTGGTGGTGGTGGTGGTGGTGATGGTGGTGGTGGTGGCGGTGGCGGTGTTCGTGGTGGTGGTGGCGGTGTTGGTGGTGGTGGAGGTGGTGGTGGTGGTGGTGGTGGCGGTGGCGTGGTGGTGGTGGGGGTGCAGCGGTGGGGTGGGTGGGGGGGGGGGGTGGGGGGTGGCGGTGCAGTGGTGGTGGTGGCGGCGGCGGTGGTGGTGGTGTTGTTACTATACTGCAGTATTGGCGGTGGTGAGACTTTGCCCAGTGCACAACGCTAAGCACGCTACAACAAGACCTTGAAACACCAAGCTTCAACATCCTCACAAAATCCTCAAACCAAAGTTATATTCTGCTGATGCCAGGCAGCCGCGATCACCGCTATTGCCCTGAGACCATCAATGTCTGGTCGGTAAGGGCTGCGGCTAGGCCTGACGGAATCAGAGCGCAAGGATTCTGTTTCCTTGCAGTTTCGGCTTTGTCCTTAAACTGGAATGATATAGTCCATCAAATCTAAGTTTTATTATGTTTCTACGATACCATATTACATTATACCGTGTGTTGGGGCGCCGGATCACGGGCTTCATGTATATCCAAAAGTACTTTGGACCGTTTGGGATAGGATTGGGGCTGCATCAGCATCCCATCCTGCGATCCGACCCCAAGCACGTCGAAGGCAGACGAGGCGATTTTGGACAGAAACCGAAATCCCTCAAAACCAGGCACCTAAACCCTGTTGTGTTTTTTTCCTAGCACCATGGACCCTCGAAGATCGAACATCTGCCAAGCCAAGCCAAGTCCCAATAACAATTCGCTAGTCTTAACAAGCCTTGGGCTGGGTGGTACACTACACCATACGTCGTACTTATGCTATACGCGACAACCGGTATGCAAGGTATCAAAAGAGCAACTTTCGTGCTTATCCTGCTACCGAGCCCGAAGCTAAGTGCAACCCTGAATCGGTCAACCCTGAATTCCGCAGACCCGGATCCCGAAGCCCGAAACGACACGCCGACGCTTCCTGAACAGCGAGATCTCGCATACATTCTCCAGCCCCTGAAGCCCAAAAGCACTCTTCGTGCAGGCTTCATCTGAGCTTTAGGAAAGGCCGAGAAGCTCAGCTCCAACCATGGAGGATTGGAGAGAGGAGTGAGTGGACATTGGGGACCCCCTCCACGTCTCGGTGGGGGACTTCCTCGATTTTAGGGTTGGAGTCTTTTTCGAGCATTGTTGTTTTGCTATGTTGGGTTCTGGCTTAGGGTTGATTGCAGGGCCTTGCCTCTTCTTGTCTTACTGATGTAAACAGGATCTCGAGATTCAGGGGGTCTCAGAGCAGCTGTTCGCTGCAGGTAGACTCGACTTGCCTACACCCGAAGCCTAACCTTTGTGAACTAGGAACTGTTGGCAGCTTTTTGCGCTAGGGCTTGGCGTAATCTCCCAAAAATTCCCCATGTAACTATACAACACCCTACTCTAACCATTAAGTAGCGTTTCTCAGACATGGTTAATTAGAACTCTAAACCCTCAGCGATCAAGAACTAAATCAAGGTTTAGGGTTTCTAGGGCTGCACGGTTCTGGTTTGGTTTCTAGCGTTCTGGTTTGTCGTTGTCTTGATCGGACCGTTTCCATCTTGCAGAGACTGGCAACCGGCTTAGGTCTAAGTCGAAAAGCTCGCCGCTCCGTAGACGCTGCTACTATCAAAGCTTGAATAGGTAGTACAACTATTCCCTTTGTAGTCGTCCCTGATACGAAAATTATCAACGCCCCTGTGCTATGTGAAAATCCACACTCTCAGAGAGGCGGGATCGGTTTTGCATGTTCCCGGCTTTAGCCAAGAAGCCCATCCAGGCGAGATGGCGACGAGTAGACGCTGAATGACTTCTCCATGGGCAGGTGGGCCCTCAGCAAACAACGAGAAATTGCAACCATTCCGACAAAATTCTCGCGACCTAAGATTGCTAGGCTGCGTGTCCTGCTTCCTCTGTTTCTTCATCGGTATTCGTCATGTTCTGTGTGCAGTGTGGCAAATTAAAGCTGCGATGGTCCAGGAGCGCTGTGTCGCTGGATGATCAGCCGGACCTTCCAAACACTTTGACCCTAAACCCGGTAACCCCGAACCCTGAGCTGTAACGCCTAAACCCTTAACGTCGCGCCGCCGTGCTGCAACACGTTATCTCCCTGTGGGCTGTGTGTGCAAGTTTCAATCCCAGAGCCTATAGGCCCAAATCACCCACACCCTCAAAAAGACAGAGCGACAGAAACCTACCCTTCTGTGTTGGGGTCCGGTGCTCCCCCTTTCAATGATGACGAGGCACGCCTCCCGCGGCGAAAGAGGTTCAAGCTCGAAATCCACATGACCTTCTTGCGATGAGCGGTACCTCTGAATCCGGGACAATAGGGATGAGGATTGGGGGCTCAGCGGGCTTGGGCACGTCGTGAACCAACGAAAAGTGAGGATTTCTCAAGACCACCGGACTGGACTCCAGCGTCCATCCAAAGCACCAGTCTTATAACCATGATCCGAACACATCGACGACTGACTATATACTCCAACCGAATTTAGGTGTTTTGGCTGTGACAACCTACGAAGGGAAATATGTAAGTTTGCATCCACTTGAAACAATACAATGATCAACAACATATCCCTGATATGGAAGCTGAACCTAATCTCCAGAACAAGAGCTCCAGGATTGATGCAGGCTATTGAAACTTAAGGGGTTCTGGGCTTAGGGCTTAGCGTTGCAGGTTCTTACCGGGCAGAGCTTAGAGACGGCCTCGGCTTGAGGCTACTCAGCTAACTCTGAACAAGGTACATTAGGGTTTAGGTGTTGGGGTTCGGGGGGTCTAGGGTTCGAGGATTACAGACAAGGCACACAAACAAACCAAACAAACACGTATCCACATTCAGGTGCAGACCCCGACACCGATTCTGACACACAGAAGGCCTGCCTGCAAAAGATGTATGTCTATACGGTTATATCTATGTTTTATGTGTGTTTCTGTATTTATTTCCTCGCGTCAACAACTTTTAATTAATCATGTCTTTACCTACCCTTTCTAATCTGCACATTTACTTACCTATGATGTGTTTAGCGATGCAGAGGCGTCTGTCTTTTGCCAGGTGGGAGTCTATAAGGGTTTTTTGGCTTAGAGAGTGGTAGGGGTCTTTAACGCATGGTTTTTGGCCGGCTGTGTTGTTGTTTCTTTGCTCCCTTTCTGCCAATGGTCAATCTCAAGGCACCCACAATTATCCCCCACTGAAGCGCGAAGCTCTCCCTACTCCGTTTAATTAAACCTAAACCCCACACCCTGACCCCCCCTCCAAACCCTAATTCTGGCTGTCCCCGGACATCGAGCTCGCACGAATCCGCAGGATGCAGCTTCTGTGGCGCCCGTTCTTCTCCGAGAATCGAACCCTGGCCCTGAAGCCCGAAGCTTTCCCTAAACCCTAAACCCCCTCAACCCTAAACCCAAACCCCCGCCCGCCCACAAAACCCTCAAACCCTGTCCCTCAAGCCCGAAGCCCTGCCTAAACCCTTTAGGCTCGGGTTTTAGGTGGGGGTTTTGCTTAAGGTCCTGGAACTGAGAACCAGCAACCTGAAACTTTTCCAGGCTCTCAGGCTCTCTGGGCTTAGACTCCGAACCTCTCGGACCCCCAACGCCCCGTCTAAGTCAAAGCCACCCAGACCCCAAGCCAACCCAAGCCCCCAATCTACCAGGACCCTCCAAGTACCCTCAAGTAGGGGTATATTATGCTTAGGGGTTTAGGGTTTAGGGCTATATGCCCAAATTAAGGGCATTTAGAGTCAAATCGAGGGTAGATGGAGGGTCTAGGTTTTAAGGAGAGCCTTGGGGTTGGGAAGGGGGGCGGTTTTGGTCGGGCTTCATTCTGTTGGGTTTGGGTTTGGGTTGTGAATGAAAGATTGCGTCGAGACTGTCAGGCTAAAGGTCTACTTAGGAGCCAATGTTCTCCAAAGTCCAAGCTCCCTATAGCAGGCCTGATGCCTTGACCTTGCAAACGTCGCGCATGAGTTTAAACCGGAAACTCCTATATACCCGAAATGCTAAATGCCGCATGCCGCATATGCATATATAGAGAAAAGAGTATTTTTACATGTATGTATGTATGTATGTATGTATGTATGTATGTATGTATGTGTGTATGTGTGTATGTATATGTATATGTATACAAGTATATGGACATATGCTTGTTAATTGACTTGTTTATTTTTTTACTTTTAATTTACATCTGCATTATTGTATGTAGTTATATAGTTGCTCAGCTAATTGAGTATTCAGTTTATAATTGTTTGATTAGTTAAATGATCAAGTAACTGGTTAATCGATTACTAACTGCTTATTTGTTCATGCATGTACGTATTCGTCTGATTCTTTACTAGATTATTTGTGTGTCTGTTCACCTGTGATGGTTTACGTACACGGAGCCAAAATATAGAAACTGCATTGCAGGTACCTGGACTTCCAGGGGTTAGTACGCAGATCCCAAAGAAGTCTCGCTCACCCATTAGATGGAAACCATAAACCCGCGGCAGGAAGTGTGCCTGCCGCTAACCACAGAGGAGAGGCTTGCCGCCCGATTGCCCCCCGCCGCTGGGGAACCCAGGAACAGTTAGGGTGGACCCTAAACCCTAAACCGTGTTTGGTGTTCAGGGCTTTATGGTGGCGGTGGCATGGTCTTGGGGTCTGTAAAACTACCTAGCGACACCCATTTGTTTTGCCTGATGTGCTAAAGGCACCGAGCCCTAAATAAGGTCTCTGGAGGAACCATACTTTTGGCGTTTCGGAATGGTGGAGGGCCTTGGATTTCAGGCACTTTGCCTACCAAGGGCCTCGGGCATGTGTGCGAGGGTTGTCATGGGCTTTACCTGCCAGTGAAGCTTAGTTCTTTGGTGTCATTGCAGCCTTCGGGCGGTTGCAGCATGTTGCTCGTTCTCGCAAACACTCTACCTGGAATTCTGCTTTGCTACCGGTTTGTGTTTCTTCGGATTGTTCTAGCCGTTGTTTCTATCCTCAGCTAGCAGTTTACACGTTGATCCCGGAAGCTCCACACCCTCCAGCTCTGAAAAATACTGTGTACGGTTTAGGGTTTATGGTTTAGGAGTACTATTTCAAAGGGCTCAATGTGCTGAATCTGAACTATACCTGCAGTCTCCATTGTAGTTCCTTTTTTGGGTTTAACCAGTTTTGCACTAAGGTTCCTATAAGGAAACCCCAAAAAAGGAACTACAGTAGATCATAGGTAGTATAAACAATTCCCCGAACGTCTTTGCTACGTATGCAGACCGCGACATTCGGTCGAAGACAGCGCATGCATCCTCTGAGGCGGCTCGAACGGCGACGATCGGCGCAAATGGCGCCAGGCACAGAAGGGCGGATGATCGCAAGGTATCTTAACCCTAGAAGGCTCGAAGGACTCGGTTTAGGGTTCAGGGTTTAGGGTTTAGGGTTTAGTGTCTTCGCTCCAGAGACCATACTGCATAGGGCTTTTGGGCTATGTTGAGCCTCAGAGTAAGGGTCCAAAGAGCCTCAAGTCATAGTAGTGCTTTATTAGGCAAGCATGATTGTAGGACTCAGGGCGTCCGGAAGTTTTGCAGCTTCGAAAACCCTCGCAGAGAATCAGGAGCAGTGTACTGTATTAACCCTAAACCCTAAACCCCACAATATCATAAACTCTAAACCCGAAACCCTACACCCAACCTGCTCTTGACTCTTGATGTCGAACCAAAAGGGCCCAAGTAATCCTTTGTTTATGGCTCTTGGTACCCAAAACCCTTCAACAGGAGGTATAGGGTTTAGGGTTTAGGTTTAGGGTTTAGGGTATCTGGACCCATATGGGGAAGTGTGTTGCAGGCGTCCAGCGTCAGACGTCGGGGCTCAGCGATAGTGTCAAGGGTTTGTGTCTGGTGGTGTAGGCTTCCCGGGCTTACGGGTTTAGGGTTTAGGGTTTAGGTTGAGGGTTTAGGATTTAGGGTTTAGGCTCATGTCCGATTGAGGAAGCATGGTGTCGCTGTTGCAAGGTAAATCGTCCGTTCCAATCCGCGAAACCGAAAACTCGAAAACCCCGAAAGCAAAAACCCGGTCAGTTTCATCAACGGCAAAGGCAGTTTTTTTTTGTTTGCGTCGGAGCTCTGAAATTTCGGATGTCCTGTGCAGCTTGGCGATGTTTGGTGAGCATTCTCGTGGTATTCAGCTCCAAGTAGCTCTTGGAGGTTCATGGGTAGCTATAAGTGGAGCGATAAGTCCCCTAATATGGGTTATAATTATCGGTACCTTACTTTTGCCCTAAACCCTAAACCCTAAACCCTAAACCCTAAACCCTAAACCCTAAACCCTAAACCCTAAACCCTAGACGTACAACTACCCATGGAGCTCCAAGTCGACCCTAAACCCTTCTAGAACCCTTAGGCCACGGTTTAGGGTTTAGGGTTTCGGGTTTCGGGTTTAGGGTTCAGGGTTTAGGGTTTAGGGTTTAGGGTTTAGGGGGGTTTAGGGAACCCTGAAAGGAACCCACGACTGCTCGCTGCGAGTGCACCATGTCATCGTCCCTGGATGTGTCCCAGCTGGGGCGAAAGAAGTTCGTGTTAAAGATTGACGTAGCTCGGACCTTGCCATGCGATCTCGGCTGTGATACCCGGAGGCGATGACCCAAGAAATCTGTAGAGTTTCGGGTTTGGGTTTTAGGGTTTTAGGGTTCAGGGTTTTAGGGTTTAGGGTTTTAGGGTTTTAGGTTTTAGGGTTTAAGGTTTAGGGTTTAGTTAGGTAATATCCAAAAACTAGCTACTATAGTTAGAGGTTCCTTAGCATATCTCTACCGCAATAGCCCCAAAGCCCTCTTATTCAGGCCTCTAGACTAAAACCTTATCGTCGGGTTCATAGTAA